TAGTTTGGGCTGAAAAGTTACTCGGGAGGTTTTGGGGAGGTTTGGGGGATGTTTTGGGGATGTTTTGCAGTTGCAGAGTTAGGTAGTGACCAGAACATGGTGCAGAGAACTGTAGGATGGGCACAGGATACACGGGATGGTAGCGTGGACTTTGTGGAAGAGGAGAAATAGTAGTGATGGGAGATGTGAAATACAGGAGCGATTGGCTGTAGGTCCTTTGATACTGAGTGCCCTCTGTCCATGAGAAAGTATGGATGCATTTGCAAAGGAGATAGTTGATGGGGTGAAAGTGATTCAGATACCTGAATCTGACCACCAGGCCAAAACACAAGGTCCAGGGAAGGAGTTGGTCAGAGTTGCTCATGGGAAGAGGAAGAGGTTAGTGAAGGTTGGTTTGGTTCCAGAGAGCATCCCAGGTACTGGCGATGGATCTCATCTACAGTTCTGTTCCTGTAGGCAGTCAGCTATATTCTGGAAAGATGGTCCTTCTCACACAAATCTGCTACATTTATGTCTAATATTAAAGAGATCTTGTGCGAGCTTCAGCAGAGACAGATGGTAATTGATTGGGCCATGTCTGGCCTCCTCCACACTGAGCTCTCGAGGGCTGAATTTTGAGTGGAGCTACGATAACGATCTGCGTATTTCAGGATCTTCTCCTGTCATTTGTGGGACTTTGGGCGTACCAGGCTTGCCAGTTGCTGTGACGAGGATTTTTTTGGCATGTGGAAACGGCCATTCATTATAATTCTAAAAATGTTTGCATAGCTTGGGTTCCTGAACAGCACGGTAGAGATTTCAAGTGCTCTTTCAGTTGTTTTACCTTGATGTGGCTTTGAGGAACTTGTTCTCTGGCCAAATGTATGCTTTTCAGCCGTTTCGGCTTATTCAAAACCCCCACCGTGTCTTTAGTTATCCTGCCTGTAATGAAACCTCTTCCCCTCCTCTCTCACCTCTTCCTCTTCCCCCCCAAGTCGACTTTTTTGTCAACCCACAGAGCTCATGCTCTGGTGGGATCTGAGAAGTTCCAGCGATAACAAACACAACCGCAACAGCTACTGGTGTTTTCAACAGGGCTTGAAATAAATAATAAATTTGTTCTGAGGAATCTAACTGCACAGCTGATGCTGGCTTCCAGGTCCTTGTCTTACTGATCTTGCTTAGGACATTTAGCAGATCAAGTCCTTAAGGTGAAGCAACATCTTGGAGGAAAGGCATGAGGTTCCTGTATCTTGAGTTTGTCATCCCCATCCTCACGCTGTGAGGCTGTTACATCAGGTCGTGCAACCCAAAGTAGTGGGATGGGGTTGGGGATTGGGCAAAGCCAGTGATGGTACCTGTAGTGCTGGTGTCTTTCTCAGTTTAATGGGGATCTGTTGCTGATGGTACTTGAACGATTGACCCTTCAGGGATCGGAACCTCATCCTGCAAATCTTGTGTGTGTGTTAAATTTGTGTTTCCTTTTTAACTTCTGCTGCAAGAACTTCTAATATGTGGTTCTGTTGAGTAGAACCCATTGAGCTGTGTCAATTCTTACAAGATTTGTCTTTAGCACTTTGCAGTTGGTAGTGTAAAGGACATGCCACATCCCTCTGTTCTGAGATCAGGGAGATCTCTAGAAGCTAATGCAGAGTCTGCTCAGGATAACCCAGAGGGACCTGTGCTCTCCAGCGCAGGGGCAGTAGGCAGTTGTCTGCACTGGCAGAGCCCAAGGTGAGTTTATCTCTGCACGTTACACTATACCTGTTTGCCATAACTGGTGTGTGGCACTGGGGAGGTGGCCCATGTGGCTTCTGTGGTGACACTGGCTGCCTGGCTAAGAAGAATAATCTCAGGGATCAGAGCTGCTGTTTCCACCACACTATTTTCCACTCCAACCTATTGGGAATTGCCTGTACTTTTCACTACTGGGGTGAGAAATGAATATACACCCTCCTGGGAAGTGCTAGTAATTAGGATTACAAATTTAGCGGAAGAGGAGCAAGGTAAGGAGGTCTCAGAATTTAGGACTGAAGTAGACTTTCTTCGCTTGCTCTAGAAATGAGATACCTAACTGCTTTCATGTATGCAAGGTAGTTAAGTACCACCAGCTGCTTGGAAGTACTCGATGCCTTTTACTTTTGCAAATGTCAAATGCTGGTGTTACTACCTGTCAAGGCAAAATGCAGTGTGAGCAGCATGGTCTGTTGGGTCGCTGCTGCCCCTGGGGTGTTAAGCAAGAGAGCTGAAACGTGCAGAGACTTTGGCTGCCTGGGGAGCGTGGGTGGCCAGGACAGCTGGCCTGTCTCTGGAGCTATGGACAGCAAACAGTCTGGCTCAGATAGGTCCCGAGCCAGTGGGGCTATTGCAAAAGCTCAAATCATGGGAAGTGACTCTATACGATTGGATTCTTCTTTAAGCAAGGCCAGTCTTGGGTCTGTATCCCAGAGAGTATCCCGGGGTGTCCTGCCAGCCAGGGAACGCAGCTGACGCTTCATCTCGGGAACAAGAACTTGGCTCCTTGGCCTGAAAGAGCTCTGTGGCCTCTCATGTGATGGCTGCTCTTCATCTGTGTGTTTGCACCGTTCGGAATGATGCTACGGCTTGTTTTCTGTTGACTCTGGAATTCATTGGTGTTTTCATTTGGAAGGGGTCAGGAACGCCAGCTTCCTTATCGAGTTGCTGAGCTGATGCTGAGGTATGATGAGTGGAAGGTATTCCTGCCAGCTCTTGCTTGTTGTAGATGGTCTGCAGGTTTTAGCTTGAATTTGTGGTTGCAGGTGGCTCCAAGAGAACTGCTTCATGGTGGTGTTCTAGTTCTGTTCTTAGAAACAGACCAGTAGCAAGCACGCATTTTCTAGTTATCCTTATGTCTCACAGATTCAGATTTAAAACAGAGAGAGGGAGAAACAGAATATCCAGCAGGAGGATCTGCATTTAACTCTGCACTAAAAGGTGAAATGAATATGAGCTTTGTGTGCAATAAGCACAAAGAGTGTAGTTTAAAAAATCATCGGGAAAAAACATCTGTTTATGTGGTTATCTTACGGAAACAACGTTTCCACTCCTCCCCTTGTCCGAGCTCGATGCTTTTATGTGTTAGTTTTTGTGGGTTTTTTGTAAATGTGTCTATTCCAGAACCTCTCCCTCTCCTGTAGCTTCTCTTCCTCTCCTGCCCTGGGCAGCAGGTAGGTACGTGCTCTCTCTGGTGGGGCTGAACCAGGTGCCCAGGACACACAGTTCCTCTTTCCCTTTTTTCCACTGACTCCCTTTGGAACTGACATTTATCTCATTCCCCAGCCTTCCCCTAGCCCAGGAAATCTCTTACACACCTTTTCTCAGTTTCCATCTGTGTGCTGTGGTATGTGAAACAGAAAGCAGTATGTGCATGACAGGGCACCTTCCAGATTGCTCTCCTGAAGCAAGCTGAAAAGGAAGAAAAGGATAGTTTCCCTTCTCAGAAGAGCTGTATGCTCTCCCCAGGGCTGGTTCATGGGAGAATGTTATGGGAGCCTGTTGGAGAGGTGGTTTTGGGCAGGGGCAATGCTGGGGAGGAGAGCACAGCGACTGCTTTGGTATAAATCACCTCTGACTTCATCCTTGTGTGAAACACCATCACACTCTGCTAGTTTGGCTTCAGACTTTCAGCTCTTTGGTAGGTGTTTGCAAATCTGGACTTTCTTTATCCCTGCTTTCCTCTTTCAGAAGAGCAGTAGAAGTGCATCATTTTGTGTTTATAAAGTCACCCTCGAGTTCAGGAGTAACAGGCTACAGAACAAGACAGTGCACTCCACTATTGCCATGATACAGCCTGTGCCAACGACTTTGCTCATGGGAGGATGTGTTCATCTTTAAAGGATGATGGGTTGAGTGACAGAAGAAGGAGAAGAATGGAATAACTGTGCTGGAGCTTGGTTAAAGTTCCATAGAAAAGAGCTCTGTCACCAGTTATAAAAACCTGAACACTTCTGAGAATTAAGTGCCCACCACGTGGCTTCATCAGGAAAATGTTAGCACCCCTGTTGTCACAGTGGCAGAAGTCTCTTGCAGCCACCTACTTGCTGGTTTGTGTCTTCAAAAATGACCAGAATACATGGCACTATAGTGAGGTCTTGGTCTTTACTGAGGTCAGTTTTGTGCAGCTCCTCTTGGACCATACACTGCCAGCGAGTGGTGGGCACTCACTGGGGAGATCTTCTGCAGGAGGCAAAGCAAGTGAGACACAAAACTACCTTTTTGCTTCCTTTCTTACCTTGTGCTGAGCTCTGGTTTTCTTGGGACACCCCTGCCCTGGCCAAATGCTCGGTATGTTTTAAAGCGTGTTTATTCCTGCAGACCTGCATCACCATAATAAGCTTTCACTGACAGAACAGATCTTATACCCCATCTCCAGCCAGTGCCTGGCAATGCGTATGCAAATGTACTGTGAAGCAGAATTAATTGCTGAAATCTCCCTACGGAGGTATTGCTTTGGGCTTTAGTAGGTAGGCCTAGTAAAATTCCACAGCGCATTAGAGATTGTGCGTATTAATTTTGCATCTAAAGCAGCATAGGATGTCAAATTTCCACTTTTGAGTCCATCTGCCCTCACCCAGTCCTATTTGGCAGGTTTATTACTTGCTGGCTTTGTGTATTCTTACACTTGATTGCTGACACTGAAAACTATGAGTGAATATGATCTCTATAAAGGTAATAAAAAAACCCTTCCTTTTTTACCCAGAAGTAAACTGTGTGTTTGGCTCTTGGCCTGCCTTGTTGGCAGGGGTCACTGGAAGTCCATGCGAAGGCACGCTAAATCCTGCCGTGGCAAAAATTCTTGTAATGTTGAGGTTTTAAGAGGGTTTTGAGAGAACATGAAGTGACAGCTGAGCAGAAAGTGAGCTCCTCTGTAGTGACAGCTACGTGCAGCAGCAGCCAGAATTTCCTTTGCCTTCTACAATCAAACCAGTGAAATGCAAGTCTTTGGATTCTGCATATATTAAAGCATATTAACTTTTTTTTCTCCTTTCCTATGTGTGCAGGAGGCAGACAGTGGGGAAGAAGAATGCCGGTCCCAGCCCAGAAGGTAAGATTGTCACTTGAGGCTTGCAAGAGTCCTCGAGGTTATCTTTCTGTGTGAAACATTCCACAGGGGGGGGTTGTTGTTGTTGTTCTGGCATGTTCTGCAAACATGCATCATTTGCTGCCTGTTGCTAATGTTGCACAACTGTCTTAATGTCTACCTTACTGAAAAATACATTTACCTATGGCCTAAATGATCCTCCTGGTAAAGGGGTTGCTGCAGCAAGAGACAGGAAAAGTCAGATCACACTGAAAAATATTTGTGAGGAACAGTTCACAAAGATGTCAGGGAATATATTCTCCAAACTGCTGTTTGCATCCAGTGGAGAAGCAGCATCTTGCCTGCAGACATGTTCTGAATAAATGGGGATGCACCACTTCTCTGTGCACGTGGAGGCTTTGCTTATATCTTAGGAACAAACCCTGGTTGTGTTGGTCCTTAGCTCCCTCCATTTCCATAAGTTGTTTCTCAGGATTTGGTCCATCATCAGAATATTCTGAGAGGAATAACCATCCTAACCAACTCTTGGTCTCTGGTTAAGAAGTTTCTATTGCCATCAAGAGCTGAATTGGATTATTCTAGTTAGCAGGAGTATCACAGGAGGGACTCCAGCAGTGATAGTCACCCTCTAACTGTGTTTCTTCACCTTCTGGTTATGCCTTGTGTACATCTTTGGGATTTGTGAAAAGTTCTATTTCTAGAACCTGAAGTACAGGGTGATCCTGTGCCATAAGGGCACCTGCTGCTTAATATAGTGTGTTCAGGGGATGGGTAGATATTTGCTAGTGGTGCAGGTAGTCAAATATCTACTCCAAAGCTGGGAGAACACTGAGAATTTACAGCTTTTTTAATTATTTTTTTAAATTGGGATTGTTTTGTATGGAGATGTTCACTTTTGTAAATGCCAGTTTGGTTCAAGAAGAAGCTTTTTTGATAAATGGTAATCTCTAAAAACCAAACAAACATCGAAACTTGGCTGATTAAACGGTGACAAGTATTAATAGCTTTTCATAATATAGTCATTATCTTAAGGGTAGATTTCTTGAAGTCTTGTAAGATTTATCTCCTGTCCTCTACGGCATCAAAAGAATTATTTCAGCTAAACTCAGTAAAAGCAAAAGCTGTATATACTTGGTAACTTCTCCAGCAGCAGGAGCACTTTCTTGGCTTAAACTGTTGCAGTTAAATTCTATGAAAGGCACAAGATTCCCTCCAGAGGGAGTAAAGGGGAAGTGAAGGTGAAATAGTTCTCGCTTTATGAGCTCTTTGACTGTTACAGTTCTTTGCTTAATGTTGTTTGTACGAGTAGGTAACAACGGAAGCTGTGATTTCTAGCATTTAAAAGGCTTGAACAAGATTTGGGGTTTGGGGCCAACTTGGATGAATCTGCAGAAGAAAAAGCTGTCGTGGTTGTGCATTCCCATGATTTCGGTGTAATCCTGTGATTGTGTGGCCTGGAGAAGGTGACTGGTCTGTTTCCTTCAGTCTGCTACCCTTAAGTGATGATTTAAGAATTGCTGTTTCTTCATTTTACAACTTTCATGACTGAGAGGAAAGCTGGAAAGCGCAATTCCCAAAGGCTCAAACTGAACTCAGCTAAACTCTGATTTTTAATTTCACTCAGCCTTCCAGCAGTCACAAGATCAACTTATGACTTGATCTCAGTATACATAATGTATTGGAGGGGGTGGGAGGTATTTAATTGTTGTGGGCACTTAGCAACAATTGGAGGTTAGGTTTCAAACAAGGGTTTTTTTAATATATTTTAAATAACTTCCTGGGGTAGGAAATGACAACCTGCTGTTGATGTGGTGATCTGAACTCCGTGACTCCTGTTGCTGGGGTCAGAGAGCTAACTGAAACCAAGATCCTTCTTAGGGAAAACAAGGGGGTGGGTATTAAATGTGTTTGATTACAGTAGGATAAAAATAATAGTCAAATGTGGAGAAGTTGTCAGCCTGGAGTCCTGCTGTGGAGGAGCAACAGATGTCTATAAACAGCTTTTGAGTGTATCTAATCCCCAGTCTTCAAGGGAACAGACCAAGTAGTAGCTGTTAAAAATGCAGAGAGTAAAAGGGCAATGGATGGAGTTTGGCTTTAAAAGCAAAGGTACTTTATCAGCTGCGGTGTCACCAAAGCAGGGCTCTGCAGCAGCCTGACATTCCTCACTGCCTGCCTGGACAAGGCCAGGCTGGTGAAGTTCTCCTGAGGCATAATTCAGGTGACCTGGCTTTAGCTACAGTCAGTGTTTGGGATGGGATTTTTTGCTCTTGGTAAAATTCTTCTGACGAGGAGTCCTTTTGTCTCCTGCACTCATGTAAAATTTGTTTAAACACTACTTCAGGGTAGTGTGGTTGGCATCAAGCGTGCCCAAACTCATCAACTGGACATTGAATGCAAGAGCATTACTGTGGCTAAAAGCGTGTTTGGGTTAATAAAATAAATTTTCAATATTTATAAAATAGGATGTTAACGCATAGAGTTGTTATAATGCTTGCAAGGGAACTAGCTTAAGACCTAAGCATAAGCACATAGACATGTCTGGTGTCAGAAGAGTGGTCAGTCTTGAAGATCATTAAGTAGAGCCTTGACTTCCATTGTCCTGAGTGCCCGTGTCTTTGCGCAGTCCACAGATTGAGATCTCAAATGAGACAAATGTTCCCCTTAGATCCAGCTCAACAGCATTGCTAGTCCTGTGGCGAGTAATTTCTAGATAGATTCTTGTTTTAGGTTTCTGCTGTTTATCCTTTCTCACTGATGAGATACGGGTTATGTATCGGGGCGAAGGGGAACACGCAGAAGCGACTGGCAGTGTGACAGCAGGAGTGACTGCTGCCTGTTGAGCAGGGGCTGTGAGGAGCAACCAGTCTAAAATGCCCTCCAAAGAGGCAGAGAAATTAGTTTCAAACAGGAGCTTAAACTTGTCAGTAGGTACATCAAGATCATCATATCTAAACCCAGTAATCTACCCGGGTGCTGACCTCTTTGTGCTTTTTAAGATTGAGCACCACACAGGACTGTGACTGTGTGGACTCGAGTCTCGCAGACGAGGGAGAGGAAGTGTGTGAAACTGTTGTTTAAACCCAAACCTGCTCTACAGAGCAGGCAGATGGGAAGACAGGTCTGCACTTGCCTCTTGGTTGGGGTTTGCCTGCGTGAAGAGGGAGCACCAGCACAAGCTCAGTCAATCCTCTCCCCTGCCATTGCCCGTCCTTGGCTTCTGCTCTCCCAGAAGGGCTGGTCCTTCCTAAAGCACTTCACTCTCCTACACTAATGCTCTTAAGACTGTTTCAGCCAGCACCATCATGGAATGGGGAGTTTTCTGCTTTGTGAATTAGAGGAATTCACTTAAAAGCTTTTCTCCAAAATATGGAAAGAGCAATTAGATGTGCAGGAAGAGAGTTCATGGTTGCTCTGCAGTTACTCTTGGAAGGTGCTTGAAACGGTATTTTCTGGCAAACTCTTTTGTGCTGATGCAAAGAGGAATGGTTTGTTTTCCTACTTGAGGAAAGTGCTTGGATATGGTGAAAACGGACCTAATTTTTATAAAGACTTCTATCCATTACTAAAAACCACAGCAAATTAATACTGCAAATACCTGAAGCTGAGCAAATAGGTGAAAACCAGCTTGTCTTCAGGAATATTTTTTTCTCCCAGCCAAGGCCTGCTCTGGGGGAAGCCCAGGAGGATCTCTGTGTCCTGCTGCAGCTCTGACCATTCTTGCAGTTTATGGGTGAGACCCCCAAATCCCTGACACGGGTCCACGTTCTTGCTCTGAAGTCCCTGACCGAGCTGGTCCTGGTCACCTGTCTAACTCTTGGCTAATGGACTAAGAGCACTGCATAAGCAGATGTCCTGAATAATCTATTTGTTACATTTATTACCTTCATAACTACTTTCTAGACGTTTTTATTAGCCTATCTGGAGGCTGTACAGCTCGCTGGCCTGCGCATCTCTCCTCCTGTCCCCAGTCGAGCTGCTGCCACGCTGAGTAGGCATCTGTGCTACCAACCTCTTTGCATCCTCCTGATGTTGTTAAAACTTAACCTAAAATGCATGTGTGTTGAGCTTTGAGTTGTGTTTACACCAACTGATCTATTGACCGTTCAGGTTTTGTGTGCTCTGTGCCAAGGTTGCAAGGATTCAGCATCTTTGTTTTGCTGACAAAGGACATCTCCAGGGCCGGGGGCAGCAGCGATGCTGCAGCCTGTGCTGGATTTGCTGTCAGGATCTGCTGGTTGCTGTTTTTGGGGTATATATTTGAAATGGTGCCTCTGTTTCCGTGCTATCTGTGAATTTACCAGTTCTGTCTGCCTTGAAAGAGCTCTGGTTGCTGAAACGCAGCAGTCAAGGCTGTATGGTAACTGCTGCCTATAAAATTGAGTAAGCTGTCCTGCTCGGCGAGGCTGCTGGGGACTTCAGAGCAATTCTTTGATCTTTTATGGCCTGGCGCTTGGTCAGACTAAAGTCCATTTTCTTAGGTAGAGCTGAGGAGCCTGCCATTCCCTACAAGTGCCACAGAAAGTGATTAGCTCCTGCTCAAAATCTGGGCTTTGTTACCTAAAAATATATCCCCTCTTCAGGTGGGGGTGAGAGGGTGGTGTTAGGAAAGAAAAAAATCAAAGAACCAAACCATCGCCTTTTGCAGGCCAAGTATGGTTACCTTCTGGTTTGTTTTTTTTTAGTCAAAATAGTTCCTTCCAGGAGTGAACTGGGAAGGAAAGCAAATCAGATTATTGCCATGATAACAGCTGGATGTGCCAAGATGCCTCAAGGTTTCAAGCTGTGAGTAAATACCTTTGTTTTAGGAGCGGAAGGCCACAGTCTGAGGCAGGAGCGTATGGTTTGCAGCAGTGTGAAAGTTGTTTCTCAAACAGTAAGTGGCATCGGTGCATGTGTTTCCTTGCAGAGGGCAACAGCTCAATAAATTGTAAGCCAACTTGTTTGATTTTTAAACTGAGACCCATTTAAGCTTCTCTCTACCTGAGGGTTGTGGCAGATGGATGTGCTGTTCCCCAGGAGAGAGGGGGGAGTGATCCTCTGACACCCAATTGACTGCATCACCTACAGTCTGCACCAAGACGTGCAAATCTTCAGCATCCTGTGTCTGTTGCGACTTTTGGAGATGTGTTATCATCACCATGTGGGGCTGCTGGGGCTCCTGACACTTCTGGGTACCCTTACAGCGTATCTTGTGGTAGAAGAGAAACTTGAAAAAACCCACGTGCTGGGAGTTCTAGCAACGAACCCTTCTTTGCACTTCCTTTGGGCGCTGCTGCAGCTGCCAAACGTTTATTTTGCTGGTACTTAAACAGTAGCTGGATCTTCTAACGGGCGTGCAAGACAATGGAACTCCAGATCTTGAGTACGAGGGCACTGTGTGTGGGGTGTACAGGAAAGCTTGTGTTTATCCACGCCGGAGATTACTAAGCTCCTGTAGTATGGACCTTATCTTTAGAATGTGTTTCCTGAATCCATCTTTCTGTCTTTCCTTTCAGTGACAGCTTAGCCCTCTCTGTGGCGTTTACTGCAGCTGCTTGTGGAGAATGTCATACCCAGATAAAGCACGGTTCTGTTAAGCTGCCAGCTCTGCTGACCACCAGAGAAAGTTCTGTGGGCCACACATCACAATTTACTAAAGTGGGTCTGTGGTCTTCGTTTCTGAATCCCACATGGTTTAGCACCAAACTGTGAGCGCTTGTAGTAAAATTGGGGTTTATTAGATCAGTAACAGGTATTTGCAGGGCTAGTTTGCTGAGAGGTCTGTGTCCGTGGTTGCAACATGTTCAGTCCAGTCCGATTACATACCTGTAGATCACAATAATGTCTAAGATGACTTCAGGTGTGATCTTGAGGCCGAAGGAACAAGCAGACTAATATCGTCGCGTTACCAAATTGCCAGGTAAACACACGATGCCGTAGCAGGGAGCTCGCTCACAATATGAATGCTTATGAAAAGTTTGTTAATGTGTCATCCTAAGTGTATGAACAGAGGAGAATGAGGAACAAGGCCAAGACAAACTGGGAAGTAAAAGGAATGAAGGTGGGTCAGATCCTTCAGCTACCAAAAGGCTCTGCTGGGCATGGAGCAAGCCCAGAAGAGCTGTCCCCAAGCACTTGGGCTTCTTCTGCAGAGGCTGGTGAAGGAGGGGTGGGCCAGGAGGTGCTGTAAGGATTCCAGACGTACTTGTGTCTCCTGCTGAGCATGAACCAGGTGCTCTACGCTAGAAGAATTGAAGTCAAGGAAAGATTCCTGTTGTAAATAGAAAGGGAAACTCCAAAATAGCCTTTCTGGTCCTTTTCCTGGTAGGGCACCTTGGCAAAGCTTCAAAGCTAAACATGAATCCTCAAGAGTTTTCAGCTCTGTGTGGATTTCAGGCACTGAAATGTATTTTGAGAATCTGGGCCAGGGTTTCTGGACTTGTTGCCATTCAGCCCTTTGGTATCTTTGCATCAAAGAAATTAGGGGTGTGTTTTTGATAGTTCAGAGGATTTAGATATTTTTTTTCCATAGGTCACTGAAATAACACGTTACCTATTCTATGACCTCAGACGTGTCATTCAGGCATGTTTCTTCCTTGCTGGACTTAGAGCTGTACTGTAACTGTTTGCAAAGGTCTGGATTAACTTTTTAGTAGCAATGTAGATGTTCACACGGAGAGCAGTTGGCTGTGCAAATGGGATGCATTGGAATTTTTGCATCCAAGGAAGTAGTTTCTTCAAAGCTCCTCTTGAATACATGTGGAAGACAGCTCTCTAGAAAACAGGAGAAGGTGGCTGTGGGAGATGTTTCTGCAAAGGTTGTGTCTCAGCATGTTACCCTGTCCAACATTAACGTTGCTTGTTGAGAGCAGTGACAGATGTTGCTGCTTGTGTACCTTTTCCCACCCCCGTTGCCTGGTGGCACATCTCAGGTCCCTTCAGTCCTCTTTGCTTCTGCCTCTGTAAAACAGGTGTAATTGAACATTGACCTCTTTGTGTCAGACCCTCTAAGATTTAATGATAAGTAAACTATACAATGATTGGGCGTGGGGTTTGTGAGGGAAAGGTTTAATGAAGTGATAATATTGCAAAATAGGTGTTGAATTCTCAACTGAGAAGCCTAATCATCGATCATGATGGGCAACTGACCAAACGGGCTTTAAAAGCAGGGTTTTGTTCTTTCTGTGATGCTTATCACCCTACCCCTGCGCCTGTCTGATTCCTTTGCTCGAGAACTGGAAACAGAAATACTCTTTGACAGCTTAAATAACCAAATTTAGAATGTGGCTTCCTGTTCTGACTGGTTCTTCAGGATTCAAGTATAGTTTTGCGTGCTTTCCCTGTTCCTGCCTCCCCCCTCTTTTTCCTTTTTTTTTTTTAAACTAGATATAGGCTCCTTTATAATTACTTTGTTAAATTCCCCTTACTGCGTGTAATAAAGCTGGTGTATGTAAGTGCTGCCGTGGTGGGTGGTATGCCTCTTACTCACTGAGAAAGCTTTGTTTCTTTTCCTCTATCTCGTTCTGCCCTGCATGCATTGGCTTGTTTGTGATCACTGCTACTGAAAAGGCTTCGTGCTTGCCCGATAAATTGGACTCCATAACGCAGCTGGCTTTGTCTCCATTGCTAAAAATGGCCAGAAGACTTTTGACAGATCAACTTCTCCCTCCAAAGCGGGGAGGCAGCAGTAGGACGCGAGCGCAGGAGGTGCCGCTCTCCAGGGATCCATCTCTACCTGTTTACAGGTTTGCTGCACTAATTAACAGATAAGTCATCTGTTCCGACTCTTAATCCACTCCTAGACTCTGTTCATTGATGAAAGCCATAGACTGTTCATTGATGAAAGTTACATGGTAGCATGAATTAACTGAACCTCCCACCAGAAAAGCGGGGGCATGGGATCCTTTGACGCTGGAACAGCTGGAGTGTGGCACCATGTTCTTCAAAGCTACCTCTTCGGGCTCTTTTTTCCCCATCAGACCTGGTGCTGGGGCAGCTGCCTTTGTGGGGGAAGATTGAGTGTAGCTGCCGGTGAGAAAAACAAAGCTCTGGGCCCCACCTCGGCACACCGAAATGAACTTGCTACCTCTGCTCTCTGCGGCGGTGCCTGCGCGAGGCTCCGGAGCTGGGCTGTGGGGCAGCGACGTGTTGTTTTCAAAATTCTGTAACTTTTCATAAACGACTCCGGAAACAGCTGCCCAGGGGTAAAGAACAAACTTTTCCGTGCGCGCGGTGGAGGTGGCTCGTCGCCGTGTGGGGGGAGGATGTGATGGGGGTGAGGGGGAGGTTGGTTTGCCTCACGCAGCAGCTTCACAAGGGTTTTTCAAAATCCTCTGAAAAACACAGGTCCAGGCATTGCCTTATCTGTTACACTGATGCTGATAGATTGAGGCCAAAATTCCTTCGCCGGACAACATCCCTCTCTTCCTTTTGCCCTGAAGAGGACTAACGTTGCAGCTGTACGACCTTACATGGGTTTACCTTGCTGTGTTGGAGGAGGAGAAGAACATTCCTTGCTTGTGCAGAGAGCACCTGGGGTTCAGTCCAAATAGACTTAATACCAAACCCTTCATACCCACTGGAATGAGTTTCTAGAGGGACTATGGCAATATATTGTCTTTGTTAGGGCTCTTCAGAAGGAGAGCACTGAGAGGACTGGAGGAAGTCTTGCTGGCAGACATGTTCTGAGATGAAAAAAGGTCACCAGGCCCCAGAGTAGGCTAAGAATTGTACAAGCCTAATAAGACAATCCGTGCTCTGGATTTAATCATCTTGGCATGTGAGCAGACACCCAGCAAACCCCTGTGGGATAGGAGTGGGTGGAATATGGTGACACCCACACCTTTATGTGGTCTGACAAGAAGCAGCAATTCAGCCTTAAGCTGTTGATCTTGGATGGGAGCGTTAACTTGATTAATGAATGCCCTCTTTGCGTGTGGACTATGTGCACCGACAGGACTCCGTGTCCAGCTCTAAGTGTTCCCTCTGCATGTGTCAGACCCCAACATGCTGATGCAAACCCCGACTGGAGTGTTACTGGGGACCTCTGCATGAGGAGAATCCCATTTGCAAGCTGCTGGCCCCGTGCAGGACACAGGATTACTCCATTACGGCATTGCAAGATCAAAATGTGTTAAAAAGCACAAGGAAAGTAAGGCAGCTGAAGGTACTGGTGGAAGATACTGTGACTGTGTAGCTTTGAGATGGACACACTGGGGGAGATGGTGATTGTATGAATAAATTTTGTATTTTCAGCCTTGTCTGCCAAACAGAACACTGTAAGTCAATACAAAAGATTTGTACATGTGGGTTATTCCTCCACCCCCTTAAAGTCCTCTCCAGGGGCACTCTGTGGGCATTCCCTCCCTTCCCTCCTCCTGGCCACACGTCCTTAGCTCTCCTCATCACAGGGTTTTTCCATGATGCTTCCAGAGCTGGTTCTAGCTGCCGGAATTGCTGGCTTAGTTACCTTTGCAAAGGTTTTGGGATTTTTTTTATTTTATTTTTTTTAACGGCATGTGTCTTGCAGGATGTGTGTAGCTGCAGTTTATTAGTCTTCGCCGTGTTCAAAGGTGAAGTGAAATCCTGCCACCCGACAAGGGCTGTGGGGGCAGAGGTGGGGGTGTTTACTGCACCCTGTGGCGTGGCCCTGCTAATCCTGTGACCCGGGGAGCCTGAAATGCCGTCCCAAAAACTGGGGCAGGCAGTGCCCTTTTCCCCCTAGGGCAAAGGGTAATTCCGTGCACTGGGCTGGGAAGCACTGGAGACCCCAGACAGACTTATTTACATCTTGTCACACCGTGATTAATGGCCGTGCTCACATGCTCTGTTGCAGCACGGTGGTGATTTAGACTCTTACCTGTCATCACTGCAATTTCGTGCACTTTAAATTCTGGATGTGTTTGTCCCGGCAGAGAGCACCTGCTTCCAGCGAGGAGCAGGTTCTTGGCCGTCTTGTGACCTGCTGGCTTTCAACTCCCATCTCGTGGTGTGTCCCCTCAAAGCCCCTTCTTTCTGCCTGCTCAGAGATCAGGTTATCGGGTGAATTCTGCCCGTGTCCAAGTGCAGGATGCAGCTTTGAAGAAATAGAGTTGTTCCTTAAGTCTGATTTTAAAAAGCAGAATATGAAAATAACACATGCTGTTATTCCCAATGGACAGTGGGAACTGAGACACTGATCTCACCAACATGTAGCCTGAAGGCAGTGTCAGCCTCGGGCTGGTATTTCAGTCTTTATGGCAACAAAACCAGGTTCAAATAACCTTCTATTAATGCAGATCTCAATATACAAACTTACTTGAGGTAAGTTTTCTAAAGGTTCAAAAAGAAAAAAGCTGGGATATCTCTATCATCATTTGTTCTCCTGGCATATGGAGATGCAATACACAATTGTATTAATCCAGGACTAATTAATTTACAAATCTATTATCCATATGTTATGAGTAGCGGCTTTAAGAGTATCCCTTGTAGTTAATCACTGCACTTGTTTTTAGCAGTTTTTAAGGGCTTGCCTCTGTAATGTTAGTTGCATGTAAGAAATCTGACATCTGTCTGGACAGTATCTAAGTGCGTTTTTGTCTTCTACAATGCTCGAATAAAGCCCTTAAGTTATTAATTAGAACAGAAGTTCTGGGTTTGTTTTTCAGTCTATGAATGTGTGGTATGTGTTACTACTGAATGTGAAGTTCTTGCCAGTCTCTTGACCTCTGCAAGGATTGAGTTACCCTCCGTGTCTCTAATGTCCTGATTTTTCCATTGCTTCTCGCAATTGACTTTATTTCTGCCTAACAAAAATGATTTTTTTTGGCGCTGCAGCAAGCTGGCACTGCATTTTCTTCACAGCTGTGAGGAGCCATTCCCAGGGATGTGCTCTTGGCTGGATAAGATGACATTGCTTAAATTAATGCAACCGAACCATATTCTAGCAAACCTGCAGAATCACAAATTCTGCTGCTTTGTCCTTTTCTCCGAAGTGGGGATGGGTGAGACCTTTCAGACAAGTGTGTGTCTTCCTCCTGGCAAGTCTCAGACCTGGAGCAGTTGCCATCACACTGGGTTATTTTTTAAACCTCTCTGAGCTTCTCCAAAAAGTTTTAGCTGATAGTCTAGGGGGCAGTTCTGCGCTAACACCCCAGCAGTATTTTTTTTGGCTATTAAGTAGGTATCATTAAGAAGGCTGGATGTTTAAACCTCCATCTTCCAATGCCAGCTCATTTCTGCCTCGTTACTGGGTCTGAGCACGTGCCACCCGCACCAGACGACTTAAGAATAGTATCTTATCTGTGTCCCTCTGTGCTGGGATGTCCTGCATTCCTATGGGAAACGGGAAACGGAGCTCACTTCCCGGGTTTCTGGGTTGTTTTCCTAGTTAAACCACTTGCCCTCCGTGGAAGGGCTGGAGAACCCAAATCTTGGGTGGGGGGTTTGTGCCGTGGGGCTGCTGTGGGTGCAGGGCTGGATTGAGCAATTCCCCCCCCGACTCTCCCCCGCTGGAAAACCAGATTCATTTTCCCTTGTGCTGTAACCTCCCAATTCCCAGCAGCCAGAGGACAAGATTTTTGTTCTAACGAACTTCCTTTCTTCCTTTTCTCTTGAGGGGCGACGGAGCTAAAGATTAAATAGCATTGAAAGGCAGCTGCTTCTCTCTTCCTTTGGCAGAAAACGAGTCGTCGAGACTCCGCGTATGAAAGTTATTGCCAAGAACTATCCCCCCCCCCCCCTTCCCCTGTCTCCTGCAGGAGAGAAATTAAGGTCGTTTCCTAAGCACCCGTGTTGTTGCTGCCTGGAAAAAATAAGAAGAAAAAAAAATTATCTTTTGATGTGCTGCTTCAAGCCTGGTTTTGAAGTTTGCAGCCTTCCTTGTGCTTATTTTGGGGGG